TATATATTCACACATTTCATGACTCTTCCTTCTTCATTCCATACATTCATTTCTTCATTTTTCTATCCTTGAAATATTTATATATTTCCTTTTTTATCACAATGTACAACCTTGTGTACAACCTTGTGTACAATCTTGTGTACAACCTTGTGTACAATCTTGTGTACAACCTTGTGTACAATCTTGTGTACAACCTTGTGTACAACCTTGTGTACACCCTTGTGTACAACCTTGTGTACAACCTTGTGTACAACCTTGTGTACAACCTTGTGTACAACCTTGTGTACAACCTTGTGTACAACCTTGTGCACAACCTTGTGTACAACGATGAGTACAACGATATTTTCCGATAAAATATTGCTTCCAATATATCTTAAAATATTGCCGAGTGTTTAATGTGTTGGCATGCCTAGGGTTCGATCATACATGTTTTAACAAGACACGAAGAAACCATGGAGTGCTGATGAGTTGATGCAGTTTAAACCTTTGTTTTAGTGAAGGGTTAAACCGGGGCACCTTAGTGAGGGGTTAAACCGGGGCATCCCTATTGGAAGAGTTATAACATACATGTCCCATTATCAAGGCTACCCTTTAAACCTTTATCTGAGTAAAAATAATATTATTTTTTCTATCTGAAAAAATTAATATTTAGCAATTGCGGTTTCTATGTAAAGTAAAAAGCAAATCTACTCAGCGAAAACAAGGAACAATTGACCTAATGGATTTTTTTTAAAATAAAAAAACAACTTTATATCCTTATCTAATTGTTATTGAAGTCGAGGCTGAAAGGGTACCATTGTGAGTTTGAAATGAAGTACAAAGTAAATTAAGTAATAAGGAAATAATAAAAAAGAATGAGGCTAAGAAGGAAAGGAAGATGAAAGAAAGAGAAAGAAAGGAAGAAGGAAGGATGAGAAGGAATGAATAAGAAGGAAAGGAAGATGAAAGAATGAGAAAGAAAGGAAGAAGGAAGGATGAGAAAGAAAGGAAGAAGGAAGGAAGAAGGAATGATGAGAATAGATAAATAAGAAGGAAAGGAAGAAGGAAGGAAGAAGGAATGATGAGAATAAATAAATAAGAAGGAAAGGAAGAAGGAAGGATGGGAATAAATGTATGAGAAGGAAAGGAAGAAGGAAGGATGAGAATAAATGAATGAGAAGGAAAGGAAGAAGGAAGATGAAAATGAATAAGAAAAACAATTCATCTTTCCTTCATTTGTCTGTCCGCCACCCACTTTATTCTTCAGACTTGAACCCTATTGTTAAGACTGTAGACGAGAAAAACATCTATAATTAACTTCCTAACAACCTTCCCCCCCCCTTCATCCCAAACCTGCACAAAATATCCACCTTATGTCTTCGTGTCATGTCTTCTTTGCATGCCTTCTTTTTAAGTAAAATCTTAAGTTTTGATGCTTTTTTATTTCTTCTTTTGCCCTCTGTGACCATTAGTTTTTGGGCTTTACTCTTTTCCGGACTTTACACCAATATTAAATATTGCCAAAGGAATTAAATTTTTGCCACAAACTCAAAATTTTTAACCTGATCGTGTAAATCGTTCATGTTAAAAAATTATGGATAAGAAAATCAGAGTTTGTAGCAAGGAATCAATTTCTTTAGTTAAGATCTACAGTTAACTATGTACAATGTACGTACGTTATGTATTGTTTTTACATTGTACATCATGCATGCACATTTTCACAAAGTACAAGGTCACATTACCCATATCTAAACCGTGTTTCATTCTATTTTAACAATTTAATTGTAGTTTTAATATACATAGTTTATGTTACTATGCGTCAGTTTAAGAAACTGCAGGCGTCATTATTACGCACATAAATATCAAGAAGTTAGAAGAAACTGCATTTACGCGCATAATGCGTAAGATTCAAGAACTTAAAGCAGACATTTATTGCATAAAGTTGATGAACTTTTTACGATGAACACCTTAATATTACATCAGTTTTTAACCTATAAACTTTAGGAGCTGACCCCGCATTTTTTTTGATAAATCTATCTATATAAGTGTGAAAGTAAGTCTTCATTAAAGAAATGACCGAATTAAATTATCAGAATTAGTTTTTTTCCCTTGGGGCGAACATAATTTGAAATCATGGCTGCCAGCGTTGGTCAGGGTTTTGCTCTTTTGTCAACTTCGTTTATTTTTATCGTTCCGTTGTCAGGGTTTCACTCATTTATCAGAAAGGAACTAAATATAGTAAAAAAATTGGGGGTCCATCCCAGTAAAAATTTTATCAAATCGAAAAAATTATACTTCTCCCGTAAAGCAAATCGCCCCACCCCCTAGCAAAAATTTTAGTTGCGCCCATTGTAAAATAAATTCATTTGCTGATGAATCTCAAACATGGTTCACGACTCAGCTCAAGAATCTATCTATCTATCTATATCTATCTATCTATCTATCTATCTATACTATATATGAACCGGAAGTGGTTGCCTTATCAAATGTAATTTTCGTATCAAAGTTTATATGTTCGCTTTCAGGCACCATAGGCTTCAGCTTCTGTCAACATTACATTATTTATATAGGTGACATGTCTAGTTTACAACATTCTTTTTCTTAAATAGGACATGTCTAGTTTACAACATTCTTTTTCTTAAATAGGACATGTCTAGTTTACAACATTCTTTTTCTTAAATAGGACATGTCTAGTTTAAAAAATGTTTTTCTTATAGGTGACAATTCTAGTTTAAAACGTGCTTTTCTTATGTCTAGTTCAAAACAATATTACACAATTTATATTGGTGAAATGTCTAATTCAAGACATTACACTATTTATATAGGTGGCATGTCTAGTTTAAAACAATATTACACTATTTGGTGACAATTCTAGTTTAAAACGTGCTTTTCTTATGTCTAGTTCAAAACAATATTACACAATTTATATTGGTGAAATGTCTAATTCAAGACATTACACTATTTATATAGGTGGCATGTCTAGTTTAAAACAATATTACACTATTTTTATAGGTGACATGTCTAGTTCAAAACATTACACTATTTATAAAGGTGACATGTCTAGTTCAAAACATTATAATATTTTTATAGGTGACATGTCTAATTCAAATCATTACACTTTTTATATAGGTGACATGTCTAGTTCAAAACATTACACTATTTATATAGGTGACATGTCTAGTTCAAAACATTACACTATTTATATTGGTGACATGTCTAGTTCAAAACATTACACTATTTATATAGGTGACATGTCTAGTTCAAAACATTACTCTATTTATATAGGTGACATGTCTAGTTCAAAACATTACACTATTTATATAGGTGACATGTCTAGTTCAAAACATGATAATATATAGGTGACATGTCTAGTTCAAAACATTACAATATATAGGTGACATGTCTAGTTCAAAACATGACAATATATAGGTGACATGTCTAGTTCAAAACATTATACTATTTATGTAGGTGACATGCCTAGTTCAAAACATGACAGACATGTCTAGTTCAAAACATGACAATATATAGGTGACATGTCTAGTTCAAAACATTATACTATTTATGTAGGTGACATGCCTAGTTCAAAACATGACAATATATAGGTGACATGTCTAGTTCAAAACATTACAATATATAGGTGACATGTCTAGTTCAAAACATATTTTTTCTTTATGGTTGTGTTTGAAGATAAGAGTTGACATCTAGTTATTTTTAATTAAAATAATAAATAAAATTCTGACTTGCTTGATTGTAATCTTATCAAAAAATCTGTCTAAGTCAGAATTTGACAATATGAAATAGTTTAAGAGAAGGAGGGGAAATTTTGGCACGTAAGCGTCGATAATGACTAACTTTCAGGATATGAAAAATTATTTAAAATTTGCCAAACCGTTCCTTTTCATTTTTTATCTTTATTTCTTCCAAATGTTTGACTCTTTGGCATGAAAAATGCTTGAACATTATGAAAGAGCCTTTACAGCTGTTAATCTTTAGTCCGTTTTTGCTTTTTTTAGAAAACACTTATTCTTTAAATATCTGGTCAAATCTCTAGCTTTATTACGTCCCTGTTGGTTTTGAAATAATGGAAAGCGGTCAAATTTAAGCAGAGTATGGGGTAAATCTGCCGTTTGCATGTCTCATCATTCACTTGCTGTAGGGCCGGGGAGGGGGGGGGGTGTTATATGCTTGTCCTGTAGTCTTTAAATCTCTCAAATACTCCCCCCCCCCCCCCTCAATAACTAAGGCATTAGCTTTGAATTCTTTCAACTAAATTTAAATATTTTAATCTACAAATATACAAGGTCTCCCCCCCACACCCCCCTTAAATATTACTCTTGGAACATGCATGCATTTTTGCACAGATTTGCCTGGCAAATACATGCACTAGAATTACTGGCATTATCCATACAGCTTATACAAGGATATACAGCTTAGAGTACTGAGTTTGTATGCTACGCTTAGAACAATAATAAATACGTCATTATTGTCAAAAATTTATTTGAATATAAAATATCAATAATATTATTATTTCAAATTATTATTGCATTTGTTTTTAATTACACAAATTTGAATATATCTAAAAATATTGAATACTTTTTATAAAAGTTTAATTTGAAATTGAAGGTTTTCTAGTACAATGTCTAATTGGCATTGTAACATCTAATATATAAATATATGCAAGACAGTTTTATTCTGTTCATAATTGTAATGTTTCCACCCTGTAAGCAGAGAAAGGATTCCTGTCAATCTCAAGACTAAAGTTAGTGCCCACATATGTATGCAACGAGCTGCAGGGTGTCCACAAAATAATTCAATTTTCTAAAAATAAAATAATAATTTATGTCTGAACAATATTTCCTGATATTGAGTCCAGGATATTGTCCTGTAGGGTTAAGTTTGGGGGGTTGTTGGACATTTTGACCCCCCCCCCCCTCCCCACCTCTAGCTGCCCAGGTGTGCAAGCTGGGCAGGCTCCCAGCCCGTAAACCTCTGTCAGTTCATCTTGAAACATCTGCGCGTATATACAGACCGTGCGCGCAGACCAAATGTGAATATTCTTCAGCGCTATTGTGCGCGTCTACGATAAAGGCACATTATCGGAGAAGTTAACGCAGTTTTACAAATTTATAAATTAGATTCCTGTTGTTTGGAGTTAAAGTGCCCTAAAGTGAAAACATAGTTAGATAGTTCAGTATATATATATATGATTAATTACTTATATAAAATAAAGTGTGAAGTGAAAGTATTTTGTCTACTAGTGGGTAAAAGTGCACTTTGTTTATAGAAAACGTGTCGGCTGGTGGGAATCTGAATAAATGTGAACAGATGTATCCGTATTAGATCACTGCTTGAAACAGGTTTAAAGCCACAAACCAAAGTAAGTTTAGGCCATCTTACATCATACACACCTAGCTCTCTCAACGCACACATATCAACATATACAGAAAGATTTTGTTAGTTGAAATTTTTTTTATGAAATTTCATTCCAGCTGGATTGAATTTTGATAAATTATGAATAAGCTATTTTAGTTTTGACAGATTCATATTGATAAATGATTTATTAACAACTTATCTCTTAGTTGCTAAAAGCAAATGAATATCTAGATATATATGAGAATATAAACGTTCAGCATAAATTCAACCCTAAAAAGCGAATGATTTTAAGCTACCAGTGCAACTTTGGGTGATCATTTAACTTACAGTTTTTTTTTGTTGAAAGTTCTAAACTTAGAATGTAGATACAGCACTGTGGTTAAGAGGTCTCATGCTCTCAAGCAAAAATTAATGAGAATTTCGCCAAAGCTAAAAACAAGTACTTTATAGTGATAAAATGTACATAAAGGGCTACAGAAAAGTATAAGTGAGTTAGAACGGTGAAATCTAAGCTCAAAGCATAGCGACACTTCAAAGCCGACCCTGTGACTGAATCTATGTGACGGATTTTCACCAAAAACACTTTATTGAAACATTATTTTGACAGTATTGAGAAGCAAGAGAAGTTGATAAACAAAACCTTTTAAAGCATTTGTTTTACTTAAAACTAAGAAATCTAAAGGAGACTTTAATTTCGAACCCATTTTCACAAAAAAATGTACTTTTTTCTGACCATACACGTTTTTAACTTAAAAATTCAAATTTTTTTTTATTTGATAGTCAATGTTTGAAAGAACATGCTTAGTTAGTTTTGAGTGAACTAAGCCTAATTATTGCCTGTGATGTTTACCGTGTAAGGCTTGAAAAGTGTCACTAGTTTATCACCCAAGGTCAGATTGGCCAGAGAAAAATATTGAATGAAGCTCAAACGTCTAAATTCCGGGGAAATTCTTTTAACTTTCTCTTGTTGGATATTTGAGCCGGGATATAATATTTAGTAATATTATCACCTTGTGTACACTTCACTTTAACACATAAGAAACATGCAAAAAGAAGGTGTTTGTCAGGCGACTTAGTGTTTTAAGACTCATTTTCAAATAGTTTCACTTAGTTATTTATTCAAACCGGTTCTTTAAACCGTCGAACCCCGATTGAATTCTATACCCTCTCAATTCATCTCTTAATCCTTTAAGTTATAGGACGTGCCCCCCTTCCGGCTTTAAAAGTAGCTTCTTTGAGTTCAAGTGGAGGGGCGCGACCGGGAAAGTAAAAATCGAGAACCCCCCTGAGGTGAAAACTTTAGAATGGTGGATATCGGGATTAATGCTTAATCCACTCTTTTTCTTAATCTCGAGATTAAATATTGCTTATTCTCCTCTCATTTTTAATCTCCAGATTAATTATCCGATCAGGATTAAGGATATCCCATTCTAAAGTTTTCAGCTCTGGTCAAATCTCTAGCTTTATTACGTCCCTGTTGGTTTTGAAATAATGGAAAGCGGTCAAATTTAAGCAGAGTATGGGGTAAATCTGCCGTTTGCATGTCTCATCATTCACTTGCTGTAGGGCCGGGGAGGGGGGGGGGTGTTATATGCTTGTCCTGTGTATATTATCAGGCTTATGATAGATATACTAACATAGAACTAGAAATCAGAATGTTCAAATCGATTCTTCTATTACTTTGTTAAATAAGTATTTATTTTGACATGACAATATGAAGAGATTTTAAATAATCTTCATTTGATAAATTAAGATTTTATGTAAAAAGATCGGCCATAGTTAAACGATTATGCAAGTAGTAAGCGTGCAAATAGGTGTAGTTCGATATTAAAATTATTCAAAAAATTTCATATTAGAGAAATTTAACTTGAATAAACTTTTTAAAATTTCTGAATGAAGGATTTAAAACCCGTCATTGAAGAATAAACATAAACAGTCTGCTCGGTGCAATTTGACTCCTTGTTTATATTTCATGTGCCAGGGCCCCGCCCTCTTTATGCCACGCCTTTTTACCAATTTTTTTCTTTCACGCTCAGTTTTTTATTCTCATTTTATCCTTTTATCTTTTTCTAAAGAACTAAATACTCAAACTCTAATTTTAAAAACCCATAATGTGTATCACCTTTGATTTTTCAATCTTTAACTTCTAAATTTAACAGAATTTATAGTTTATATATCTAAGCTTTACGACATCAGGTTACAAAAATAAAAGATTATAAAAATAGAGTTTGTTTAGTTCTTTTTATATTTAAAAACATTATATATTTTTCTTTACCGACTCTCATCCTATTTTCTATACTATCTTTGAAACCTGATGTTGTCGTAAAGTTTTGATTTGTCAATCAATTAATTATGTTAGATCAAAAAGTTTAAAATATCAGGGATTTGAAAACTAGAGTTTGGTCTTTTATCATATGTGATTGATTATTGATTTGGATTGATTTTTTTTCCAGGTAAGGGAGGGTGAAGATGGCGCAGTTAACCCTAAGGTTCCGGGTGGTGGAGAGGAACGAGCGGGGGCAGGAGGTCGAGCTCGTCAGGAAAGCTCTTCAGTTCAACCCCCAGGTACAGCCTTCTTCAGTTTAACGTCAAACTAAAGTAAAATTAAAATCTTCCATGTTTTTGATAATAAATTCACTTATTGATGAGCTGTAGAGATTTGAGAAGAACAAATCTGTTGAATTTCTGTTGAATGTTAACGGATAAATTTTCTTTTTTTTTGTGATTATATTTGTGCATACAATTAAAACTTGAGGAGCCATCAGGTCACAAAATCGTAACAGTAGTGTGGCAAACTTTTGACCTTCTCCTTTTGTTTACAGTGGTTCAACCCTAAAAATTTTATTGTAAAATATTCAACAACATTATTCTAAAAACCGGAATGGGGTTTTCCACTAATAACTTATGGATTAAAATGGTTAAGATTCGTCATGATTTCTTTATAATTTTCTTTGCTAAAGGACCAAAGGTGGCATGACATACTCGTTGCTACACTACATTAGAAAAAAGTAGAGTGTCAAATTTATGCAACATTACTGGTTCTCTAGTTTTGTATTTACACAGCTAGTATGAGAAAACTACATACTGGAATCTTAAAACACTTTTTCAATAGCTCTTTCATGAAAGCAGTTATTTTTGGAAACATATAAGATTTAAATATGAAGAGAAATTTACTTTGATTTAAATCTTTTACCGCGACGTGAAGAAATCAATAAAAATGTCAATTTTTTTGCCAGTTTCACAGTAATTAATATAAAATGTCAAAATCGTTTTAAGGAACTGAATTTATGATTTATATGTTCATCTTACATTTAAATATATATCTACAATATATTAAAAAGAAAGATTTGAAATGTTCCATTTTAAGATTTATCTTTAACATAAAAGTTAAAAATGCAAATTTTTACATTATTGGCAGTGTTTTATCCAAATCTGAATAAATTGAGATACGGTTTTGAAATAAAAGTGATATAAATCCCCCCATGGTATATTTACTTAAAATTTTGCCCTCATGAAACTAGCTGAACATCCCTGGGATCTATCTAGATCCAAAAATTGATTTTGAACTTATTAAGTTTCTGATGAGTGATGCATTCAATTATAAAATTAATTATTTATATAAGTTTATGTGTATAATTCCTGACCACTAAAGCTCGTAAATTAAATTTGATAAATGCATCCCATTAACGCTTTCATTCTCTAATTTTTCTTGGAAACCATGTATGAAAATAACTGTTGTCAATATTTTTTCATTATCATTTTATAGCGGGAACAATTATACTTTGAAATAGGAAGAAGACTGTTAGACTCAAGTCATGATTTTAAAAGTCCAATAAACATGAGTAGTGTACTCAGACACATTTCAATGGTTGAAATTTTTCTCTTATCATAACCAGGGTAGGTGTGAGGAGAGATGGGGGGGGGGCACTGTTCAGGCCCATTCAAGGTCATATGCTTAGAAGTTCTATTCAGGCATACCAAAGGTCGGGATCGGAAATACTTTGATGTCTATCTTCAATGAAGAGAGGGGAGGAGGGGTAGGTTTAATAAAGGAGGGGCATGGGGGGGGGAGTCAGGATTTTAAATTTCGTTTGAATAATATTTGATTATTTGCTATTTTGAAATAAAAAGGGTAGGGTTATTCTTAGTATAAGGAAGGGATTGCCCATTAATAAATTCAACAATCAGTCAATCAATCATTTTATCAATCAATCAATTTTAAAGCAAAGCGGATGGTGTGGCTGTGCATATTTTTGTAAACTGAGCCTATCAACAATCTTGCATCAAGGACTGAGCAAGTTTTTCAAATCTGTAATATTTTTGGAGAGAGATCAAAGTTATATGATAAGGAAAAAGTAAATTTACTAGTGAGGATAGATAGAAAATATATAAAGGGTTAAAATTTGATTATTTTACAAGCTTTTAAATATTTTTATAAAGCAGGCCCTTTGTTCAACATACTATTTTTTTCTGATATCTTATATATTTATCGTAACACCCCCCCCCCCTCCCCCTCTCAAAACGTCATGTTCTATTACTTCCTATTAAGGGAATAAATGGGTGCGTCACTAAGTCACTAACTATGCGTAACTTGACGCCAACTGTTCTAACCTAACTCCTGTATTCTCGTATTCATGGTTGAACCAACCATTTATTAGATAAGAGAATTGGGAATTTGTGTACTTTTGACTGTCAAGTATGAAGATTTTTCGAAAATAGAAATTTTTGTGAAAAATGGACGAGAAAGATTCACAGTTTGTAAATGTTTTCAAGCTCAAGCCTTTTTAAAAACAACCTGAGGCCGAATTTAAAGAATTTAAAGTTAAGCCGCGGCTCAAATAAGGTTGGTTCCACTTAAAATTGTATTAAATTTTTCAAGATTTAAGTAAGCGCTCAATTGAAAACCGGTTTTTGGAGTATTTGAGACGCAGCTTAAATTCATTAAACTCGGACTCTGATTCTATTAATAATTTCACAAACTACCGCAGACCATTTTGTTTGAACAGTGGGACCCATAATTGTGGAGTAGGGATACGACTGTTGGTCGTTGGAGTATTGGACTCAAGTTAAATAGTCAAATATAAACATAAAACACTTAAATACGGAGCCAATTAACTTTATAAGTTGATTTTTAAGCTGCTGGTAAAACTAATTGCTATATTACACACTAGATTAGTTAAAACTCGTCTACGTACTCCATAGTGTTATGGGTGTGAGATCCAAAAGAAGATTGTTCGTGACCTTTTTTTAAAAAATTTAATCTTAGATTCATTTACTCAAATCATAAATCCACTTCACATTCCCCCGTTTGACAGATTTCACAGTTCAAATCTGAGATGCAAATAAATCATTTTATAGATTTACAAATTTAGTAATCAAATTTATTCTTTATGATCCATGATTTTTATGATTTTTTCATTTTAGGTTCATTTGATGTTGATGATGATGATGATAAGCTTGATTATTATGATGATAATGTTTTTGTTGATGTTGATGTTGATGTTGATGTTGATGTTGATGTTGATGTTGATGTTGATGTTGATGTTGATGTTGATGTTGATGTTGATGTTGATGTTGATGTTGATGTTGATGACGATGATGAAGATAATTATAATGATGTTAATATGGAAATTAAGATGTTGATGTTGATGTTGATGTTGATGTTGATGTTGATGTTGATGTTGATGTTGATGTTGATGTTGATGTTGATGTTGATGTTGATGTTGATGACGATGATGAAGATAATTATAATGATGTTAATATGGAAATTAAGGTTGATGATGATGATGACGATGATGAAGATGAAGATAATGATGATGATGTTAATACGGATATTAATGTTGATGATAATGATATTGATGATGACGATGATGAAGATAATGATGATGATGTTAATACGGATATTAATGTTGATGATGATGATGATGATGATGATGATATTGATGATATTCCTGATCTAGACGACGGTGGTGGATGCTGGGAGTGCTCTGAGGGAGAAGTTGGTTGAGATCAAGGGTCTAGGTCCCCCAGCTCAGTATGGATTGTTCCTGGCAGATGAGGATCCCAAGAAGGGAGTCTGGTTGGACCCTGGTAGAACATTGGAGCATTATCTCCTCAGGGATAATGTAAGTAATTTTTTACAGGGGTTTCCAGAATAAAAGTTTAGAGGTATGCGTCTTACAGGGTGTCTCACAGAAAATGTTTAATGGGATACATTTCCCAATATCCCTTCCATAGATTTGGAAAAAAAACTTTAATTTGAAGTTTCATATTTTGCATATTTTAAAACTAAGATTTTATTTTTAAATCATTAAATATCTTTTAAAAAAGTTTAAAACTATAAAATGTTAGTATATTATTTAATTTTTATTTAAATTTTGAAATCATGTTTGGATAGGGTAGGAGGGCCTGGGGGGATATTCATTCCTCTTCAGTTGTTTGATAACTAAATAAAGTTAAATGTTGTATGCATAATTGTTATATACGAGAGGAATAAAGTCTAGTAAGTTCAGGGGGAATAGGTTCAAACTCTTGTTCGTTGCCCAGAAATGATAATATCATTTTTAGACTATATCACTCCATTGAGCATGCAGATGGGATAGAATAAATAGATAGAGATCGAAAGATAAAAATATGCTTATTTCAACGTCATAAAAAATCCAAGCTTTGAAAAAATATCCTTCATCAATGCATTTTACAAGAAATTATAGATGTTCACTGGAATGTATGGGTTATACAAATATATACAACGTACATATAAACATTTGTACATAATATTATTTATGTAATCTATAAATGAACATTGCTTGCTGCTCTGTTTGGTACAATGATAATAATTATGTTAGCATTGATTTTATATCTATCTATCTATACACTCTGTATATAAGATAATCAATTATTATGTATCCCCATTAGGTTCCTTTACATGTCAAGAGGGGGGGGGGGGGCACTTTAGGACGATGGGTATAAATGGGTATTTTATAAGATAAATGTGATTATCGATGTATGATGGGGTTTATTCAATTCTTTTCTGATTAAGGGGTTTTCGCGCGCTTGAGCAAATGTTAAAATACATTTTTTCATAAATACATTTTTCTTTTTAGACAAAAATGTATTTTATTGTAAACAACAAATATTTAAAAAGAACAAGCGCATATCATGTTATTTTTGATATTGTTTGATAACTTGGCGCAAAGGAATTGAATCTTTGCCACAAACTCAAATTTTCTAATACTTACATCTTTGTAACATGATGGTGTAAATCGTTGACATTTCAAACTCCGATTACTTGTTCTAACAGAATTTATAGTTTGAAATATCTAATGTCTACGACGTTGGGTTGTAGAGATATAGGGATTAGAAAATCAGAGTTTGCGACAAATACTTAATTCCTTTAATACATTTTTTTAAATTCTTTTAGATCCACTATGTTCTCATTAATACATGCACTGTTCTGCAAATAATTCGCTCATTCTTCTGATGTCCGCCCCCCAAATTATACGCCCTTCTTACGCAAATAGTTTTAAAAACGCAAATAGTTTTACCAGTTGTTTACAATTTAACTTATTAAGAAAAATGAGTTTTTGTCCGCTGTTCTAATGTTAATAGGACAATTAAAAATAATAATTTGAATTTAACAGTCCTCAGTTTTATGGGTCCCACTGTAGCCAAACCTTTTTTTCCTCGTAGCCTAAACCTGAACAATTGGAAGAAGAGGAAGAATTTGACGATTTTGAGCCTGAAATGTATCTGAAGTCAGGAGTAAGCCAAGTGGCTTGATTTTGCTTGTTTCATAAAGCTTGACATTTGCTTGAAAACTGATCTTACATATCTTAGAATTAAAGTGAAAATCAATGCAATATATTTATATAAAAAGTACTCACACTCATCATGCAGAAAGTTTGCACAGATATTTAATTTTTCATAATGAAATTACTGCAAAAATAGATACCCGCTGTAATGGCGGCATTTTGGCGCTAAACCAGCCTTTCTTGAGGCTGCCATATCGAGGGGGGGGGGGGACGAGGTCAAAGGTTGCAGATAACGACTAAGGAAGATCATAAGACTATTTTCGTAAACAGAAAGTTTCTTTTTGCTAAGAAAGTGAATTAGAAATAAATATTTATTGTATCGTTGTAAATAGATACAAAAGGCATGCAGAAAGGGACGAGGCTGTATTGCTTTCATTTAGGATGGAAGGCGATGGGAGGGGGTCTAGGGGTTTAGTAGATTTCAACAGGGATGCATTTATAATATTGAATTGAAAAATAAAACAGAAAGTAGAAATACAATTTTTCTGCATAATTTTTTTTTAAAGATTAACAAGATAATAGGATAGAATAACAATCAATTTGTTGTTTTTGGCTCCCCTAGAGGCCACTTCCGGTAGCGAGGCCGCCGCCTCTCCTTTATCCTACCCATCCTCATCCTGCCCATATCCTAACCCATGATCCGAATCAATATCTTGGGATGGAGTTTTCTAGATTTTCTAGAGAATACCTTGGGATGAAGTTTACTAGATCTTCTAGAGAATACCTTGGGATGGAGTTTTCTAGATCTTCTAGAAAATATCTTGGAATAGAGTTTTTTAGATCTTCTAGAGAATACCTTGGGATGGAGTTTACTAGATCTTCTAGAGAATATCATGTGATAGATTTTTTTTATAAATTAGAAAATATTTTGCCAACACTTTTAGTTACCCTCCCCCCCCCATCCCCTAGTTCGTTAAATTTGCATTGCTCCTTCTAGTCCCCAATCTTCTTCCCTTTCCTTTTTCTTCCCCTTTCTACTTCTTCTATTCCATGGAACTGTTCTTTTTTCTCTGCGTCGTCTTATCCTCATCTTCCAACGGCAACCTTAATTTTTTCCCCTTTTTCCTATTTCCTTTAATTTTCCTTTTTCCTTTGCCATTTTTCTTCTCTCCTCCATTTCCTTTACTCTAATTTTCCTTGCTGTTTACTTTCCTTTTCCCTCTATCTTTCCTTTTCGCTCTCTCTTTCCTTTTCCCTCTCTCTTTCATTTTCCCTCTCTCTTTCATTTTCCTTCTCTTTCATTTTCCCTCTCTCTTTCCTTTTCCCTCTCTCTCTTTCCTTTTCCCTCTCTCTTTCCTTTTCCCTCTCTCTTTCCTTTTCCCTCTCTCTTTTCTTTTCCCTCTCTCTTTCATTTCCCCTCTCTCTTTCCTCTCCCTTTCCGCTTGAATTCCAAATTTTCATGATAATTAAATCATCTTGCCAAAACATAGGTTCTATTTTAAAATCTTGTGATTTCAGATAAAATAAATTTATTAGAAACCTAGCATCCTAGAATCAAACTGTATGGCACTTTTAAGTGTACTAATTTATAAACAATAATGATTTACCAAACTATTTTGTTTCACGATGAATTGATTGTGAAAATTGGAAGGATAATTAAAATGCAAGAAAACTATACATTTTAATGTCTCCCCATCTCATCATTACATACTAGTTCATTGAAACGAAACTTTTCCCCATCCCTCCCTATCCCTCCAACCCCCCATCTATTTTCCCTTCCCCTTGCTCCATACCCCCCCCCCCTCCTTCATTCACTTCCTCCTTTCTACCATTTACTTATTCCCCGTGTCCGAAGTTATTTATTTTATTTGGCTCCGTTCGTGGCCATCTTCCTACATACTCTTCCATCTTCCTACATACTCTTCTATCTTCCTACATACTCTTCCATCTTCCTACATACTCTTCCATCTTGATACATACTCTTCCATCTTGATACATACTCTTACATCTTCCATCTTCCTACATACTCTTACATCTTCCTACATACTCTTACATCTTCCTACATACTCTTACATCTTCCTACATACTCTTACATCTTCCTACATACTCTTACATCTTGATACATACTCTTACATCTTGATACATATTCTTACATCTTCCTACATACTCTTACATCTTGATACATACTCTTACATCTTCCTACATACTCTTACATCTTGATATATATTCTTAAATCTTGATACATATTCTTACATCTTGATACATATTCTTACATCTTGATACGTACTCTTACATCTTGATACATACTCTTACATCTTGATACATATTCTTACATCTTCCTACATACTCTTACATCTTGATACATACTCTTACATCTTGATACATACTCTTACATATTCCTACATAATCTTACATCTTGATACGTACTCTTACATCTTGATACATACTCTAACATCTTGATACGTACTCTTACATCTTGATACATATTCTTACATCTTGATACATATTCTTACATCTTCCTACATACTCTTGCATCTTGATACATATTCTTACATCTTGATACATATTCTTACATCTTGATACATATTCTTACATCTTGATACACATTCTTACATCTTGATACATTCAAAAATGGAGTTAAAAAACGAAAGTTCAATCGGGAAAAAAGTTAATTTGGAACTTTAGGAGTTTAAAATTGATAAATACACCAAATACTGGCGCTGCTAGATTAAGAATTCTCCAATCATATTTCATTTAGCTTTGGCATATTCTATGCCAAGAAAACAACAATTTCCGTTGGTAAAGTAAACATGATTTTTTGGTAGGTTCGGAGCCCCCATGCTCATCACCCCCACAATCACATTCTGTCAATTTTAACATCGTTGTTGTATCGTCTCTTCGCTTTTTCTTTAGTCAAGTATCAGGCTTAACTCTAGTAGCATGCTTGAACAGAATACCTGTCTCTAGTAGTATGCTTGAGCAGAATACTTGACTCTAGTAGCATGCTTGAGCAGAATACCTGTCTCTAGTAGTATGCTTGAGCAGAATACTTGACTCTAGTAGTATGCTTGAGCAGAATACTTGAATCTAGTAGTATGCTTGAGCAGTTGACTCTAGTAGTATGCTTGAGCAGTTGACTCTAGTAGTATGCTTGAGCAGAATACTTGACTCTAGTAGTATGCTTGAGCAAAATACTTGGCTCTAGTAGTATTCTTGAGCAGAATACTTGAATCTAGTAGTATGCTTGAGCAGAATACTTGACTCTAGTAGCATGGTTGAGCAGAATACTTGACTCTAGTAGCATGCTTGAGCAGAATACTTGACTCTAGTAGCATGCTTGAACAGAATACTTGACTCTAGTAGTATGCTTGAACACTGAGCAAGACCGCCCCGGACATAGGGTTAATTGCCACGTTTAGTTTATTACAACAAGAAATATAATTAAAATCTATAGTTTGGTATTTAAACATACTCTGGGTATAGGGTAGAACAGGTACGTCACATGTACCAGAACTCCCTCCTCAATTCCGATCCCCCCTCGAATTCCCCCTCCTCCCCCTATCCCCCCTTTTATAATCCCCCGAAACCCAAGAATTCCCCTTCCTCCACGAATATCCATTTCTATAATTAAGAATAATTCATACCCAAGAAAGGAATACAAAAGTGACACGTGACTTTCTATCCATCTTCTATTTTCTACTCATCTATTCAACTATCATTCTACCCAAGATTTATTTCCGGATTCCTCTCTTCCGGTTGTGACGTCAGTAACGGACATCTAGAGAATATAGAGATGAATATTCATTCATCTACCTTTCATGCTAGTTCTTTATGCCCTTCTTCCGTTTTACTTGGCCAGTATCCCCATCCTGCCTCTCCCCATCCGGCCTCTCCCCCTTTTCTAAGCCTGCTTCCTGTCCTCTCTACCCCTAATAGATTTTTTGGTACATAAATATGTTCCTCCTTTTTTCATTTCTGTTTGTTTATTGTAGTTTCTTTTTCATCTCTTTTCCTAACTAAAAATATCTCTATTATCTTCCATGATAACATCCCCGGCCTCTTCCAGCCTGAGCGTGCCAATCCCTCAAACTTGGTTGTTACACCACCCCCTCTCTCAAACTTGCCACACCGCTCAAACTGGGGAGTCATTCCCTCTCTATGATGCTCCCCCCCTCTCTACCTCCGTATTTCCACCCCCCTGGTTTTACAAGAAATTATATTAATGTAGAACTAGGTTGAAGGGAGGCTGAGTTAATCAGTCTCGGAACCAATGGGGCGGAGAGGGAGGGAGGCGGGGATACGACATGGAATATGGGGCGTGGAAGATATCTTCCCCCTCCACTACCATCCCCTCCCCCTCCCTTCTACTCCCCGACCCCCAGATCTTAACAGAACCCGGAAGTTACCCTACAAAAAAGATGATTTCTAAACATTTTATTCTTTATTAAAAAAATAGCATTTGGACAAACTCATATTCTTATTTAAATTTAAAATAGTAAATTTTGGAATTGTAAAAAACTCAAAGATTACCATTTGTAAAAAAAATTGAAAAGGCAAAATTTGTAACAATTCAGATTTGTCGCATTTATTTCTCCCCCCTTGCAGCTCAATGGCACTTCCTTAAAACAGGGAACCCGAAACAGGGGAAAACATTTTTTGAGAAACTAAAAAACTTTTTTTTTCTATGAAAATATCACATTTAGATTTTTGTACATTTTTGGTTGAATTTGGTGAAAAATGATAACATCTGTAGACTACAGTACATTAGTCAAGTTGTTATTGTATATATTCAATTTACGTTATACAAAACTATACTTATATCAATACTCATCAAGGGGAGGGGAACTAGGTTGGGGGGGATATCGATCTTACTTCCGGACTTTTCTTAAAAGTCAGTTCTCTGAGACAAGTATACAAAAGTAAACAAAAAAAACTTAATGAAAAAGATATTTTATTTATCTTTTTTAAAATTCGCGTAAGAAAGACTTTTAAAATAAAAGTAATTATTGTTATTTTTAATTTTATACTTTTCGCCTGAAATATTTCGCAGTTTTCTTGAAGTTGAGTTCTTGATTTTATCAGTCAAGTAATAAATACAGATTACTTAGAGCATGTGTGAGCTTATAGGGTATTAGTAGGTATGTTGAAAGTTGGGGGTGATAC